ATGGCTTCCTTCATTAAAAAGATTATATATGATATTAAACCATCAATCAAATCGAAACACTAGAGTCTAAACGTATTGTCACTGGTTAAAGTAAATGACTTTGAGACTGAATTTTGGCTCACTCAATATGATGCCTTTTCTGTTGCTTAGCCACCCAAATCTCTGCTGGCTTGGCTACAGCTGGTATATCGCCATCCCTTTCAATTAATAAAGAAAGTTGTGGTAGTATTGGATAACATTTTTAAATTGGGCTAAGAGGCTGAAACAGATGTCCCAGGAAAAATCCTTCTCACTATTTTGTCAAAACTTTCAAGCCTTGAGCCAGCAAAAGCTGAGCACCCTCCTCCTGATTCAGCTGAGCCTTCAAACACATTTGATTTTAAGCATAGGAACAATCACACCTGTGGGTTTGATCTGCTCTTAAGATGAAGTATATGCTCACAAATATGAGTGAGGGTCTTAGGCACTCAACATCTTGCACACCAGTACCCCCTGCCAGTGCCAATTAGATTCTTTGTGATGTGCTTATGTGTAAGTGCTGCTGCCTGGGCCATGAAGCACGTGTTATAAACACAGCTCCACTGCAGGTTTTTATCTCTATTACTGTGCATAACTCCACACTAGCTGTATACAGCACTGAGCTTTATCTGAAAAACAAAAACATCACTTATTTCACTATGTAAAAGGGAAAGAAGGAAAGTTGCAATTTATAATACTTTCTCATTGTAGTAATGCCACTTGATTTTTCATTGCTACTGGCACCTCTGCTTCCTGGTTTCCACTTTGCAGGCAGTGCCTGTCGCGCTGCTTCACTCGGTGCCTCCCATCACTGGGGCCTTGGTCACTGGGCAGCCCAGGCAAGCTCCTCAGGCCATCAGCCCCTCTTCCCACCCAGCACCTCCCATCCCATCCTGGCTCCAGGCTCTGGTCTTTGCTCACCTGCACACCTTCCCTCTTACCCACTGTGACACTCCTGCCCAGAGGTCCCTCTCCAGCCCTTGTATTCCACCAGATTCTCCTCTGGCAGGGAATGCTGGCTCGTCCCATGTCCCTGCCAATTGTCCCCTCCTCCAGCACTGCCCACCTGCTGCCCCCTGAAATGCTGAACTCTGGAAGGGCTCAGCTCGGGCTCATCCCACAGCCCCAGCCCCAGAGCCCCTCTCTGCCAGCGCTGGGGCTGAGACAAGGAGCAACCATGGCTGGGGAACCCAAACCCTGCTGCAGGGCTCAGGCTCATGGAAAACCCAGCTCATTGTCCACATGATCCTCCTGAAAATGATGCACAGCAAGGAACCACTGGGCACTGCCGTCCCTCACTTGGCCTCCCTGTACTTTACATCCCTGCCCAGGAAACACCCAGGAAAGAAAGTGAATACTGGAATGCCACTGAAATCCTGTTTCTATTCAACCATTTATCCCCTCTGCAGCACAGAATCATTTCAGAAATGCAAGCAAGAATTCTTTACCTATTTTGCCTTGTTCATAAACATTTGTTAGAACTGCAGGTGAAAGATGCCACAAAACTCATCGACTTTTTTTCATGGAAAGAACTAAAAGGAATAGTATTTTACGACACAAAAATTGAGCTAACAGCCCAATGTGTAGAGTTCAGCACGATCAGCATTAAGAGAAGGTAAAGGTAGATTCTTAAGACCAAAAATTACACTTTCATTTATAAAGTGAAGCAGCAGAGGCTTCAAGTCTCAATTTGAGAAAAATGACAAAGTAGGAGCTTTTTTAAAAACTATTTATCAAAGTGCTTAGAACAGAACATAACATCAATACTTGAGTGCAGTAAACTTAATACCGTGTTCTACCCATACATCTGAAATTACTTCCCACATTAATTGGGTGTGGCTGTAAGATCCCCTCACCAAGGGCTCTCTGCAGATGGAGCTCAGGCTGCGAGCCCGGGCACAGCCAGAGCCAGCAGCCCCTGCTGAGTTTCCCAGGGGTGCCGAAGCTTGCTCCTGAGCGTTACGGAGCTGTTTCACTTCCATGTTCTCTGTCGCTCCCTCTTTGTACAGTCACAGCACCCCATTAAAGCCCCGCGCTGCTGCGGGTCACTCGTGAGGGAGCAAGGTAAGATCGGGGGGGGGCGATCCCACAGCGCTGGGCAGCGCGGGCCTGATGGGGGTGATGGGGATGATGATGACGGTGGTGATGATGATGGTGGTGATGATGATGATGATGACAGTGATGCCGCGGGACACTCGCGGCCGGGCGGGCGGCGGTTTCTGCTGCGGGAGGGCCCCGGGCCCGCAGAGCCGCACCTGCCCAGCCCCGGCCCCTCCCGCCGCCCGCGGGCCCGGCCCGCACCGACCGCCCGCTTCTGCTCCGGCGGGGCGGCCGCTGGGCCCCGGCCCCACCCCGGGCTGTGCCGTGCCGTGCCGTGCTGTGCCGGGCTGTGCCGGGCTGTGCCGGGCCGTGCCGGGCCGTGCCGTGCTGTGCCGTGCTGTGCCGTGCTGTGCCGGGCCGTGCCGGGCTGTGCCGGGCTGTGCCGTGCTGTGCCGGGCTGTGCCGTGCTGTGCCGGGCAGTGCCGGGCAGTGCCGTGCTGTGCCGTGCTGTGCCGGGCTGTGCCGTGCCGGGCAGTGCCGTGCCGTGCCGTGCCGTGCCGGGCAGTTCCGTGCCGTGCCGGGCAGTTCCGGGCCGTGCCGTGCCGGGCAGTGCTGGGCAGTTCCGTGCCGTGCCGGGCCGTGCCGTACCGGGCCAGCGGAGCCGCTGCCCTGGCCCGGGCGCGCTGGGTGGGGGCGCAGGGCCGGCGCTGCCCGAGTTCCCGGCACGGCTCGGCCCGGCCCGGGGCACACCGGCGGCGCTGCGGGGCCCGAGTGGGGCCGGTCGCTGTCCGGCTGCCGCCGGAGCCTCACGGCAGCCCCGAGCCCCGGCTGGAGCGGTGCAGGGAACGCGGCACCGGCGCAGGTACCGAGCCGCCAGAGCCCCAAAGTGCAGCACGGTTTGGCAGCAGGCCGCAGGGTTTCAGCGCCGTTAAGCGTCTGTGACCCGCTCCTTAACAGGGTTATGCATTACTGAGACCAAACAGATGTCCTGAAAACTGAAACCGCTGGTTAGGAAGCAGCAATCTTGTTCATTAGCTTCTATGATGGTCAAATCGTCCATAAACCCAGTGTTTAATGGCCAGCCAATGAATAATCAATGTCTCACTTTTCATCCGAGTGTGAAAGTGAGAATAATCTAATACGCCGTGCCCCCGGTAGCGCACCAGGCCCTGGGTTCCGCTTCTATTCAGGGCTGATTTATAACCCAATGGAAACCTGATGTAAACATATGATCAATGAGTCCCATCATTGCTAATAATAACCCCCAACCGACACACTCCCTCATCTCCAAAGCCATCCCTTTAGGCTATTAGTTTTGTCCAGCTAATCCTCCCCACTATTCCTGCCTGCTGCTTTTACCTTGGCCATCCGTTCAGTCCGGCAGACTCAGAAGTAATTTTATACGCAGCAGAGAGCGGGTGGAATTGATTTTTCGCTCAGTACTCAGTTCCCATCTGAATAATTATCAATTTTACTGCCTCATAAAGGGAAGAGTCAAAATTTCAAATCAATTCAAAAGAGCTTCTGAGACTATAGAAACTGTGCACGAGAATAAAGGTCAAAGTTGTCAGTGACCTCGGGAGATGATGTCAGATATTAGTACTCTGAATAGTTGACATCAAAGGCACTCAATATGATATGACTAGTGCTAATGCAAATCATATTTATGCTGACTGCTGGAGACCAGCCATTAATATTTAAAAGAGTATGTGAAAGCCTGCATTCAAAATAAATATAACGTATTCTGCAGAATCTGAAGTTAATAAAGACAGATCGCTGCCTAGTCATACGCTGTAAAGTGAAAGATTACTGCATATTAACAGACAAAGTATTACATCAGGACTGCCACAAATGGACCAGCCTGCTGCTCTGCCCCTTCAATCACTGCACGTGAGGTGCAGTGTGGAGCAATCCAACAGCCCCAAACACCGACTGCTGCTTCCAGGAAAGCCCTGTCAGGCGTGTAAAACATAAGAACCTGTAATATGACAAGGGAATCATCCTATTCTGGTAATGATGTCAATAATAAACACCATTAATATTCTCGGAATATAGTGCCAGGATTATATTAGCTACCATTAGTTCCTTTTCACCTTCAATTAGAACAGCAAGCAAATGCTAACAACAACTGGTGACTGCATGCCAGGCTTTTTACAAATGACACCCAGCTAGCAGGGAATCACAAATGATCACACTCGTCATTTGCATTAGATTAAAAGCCTCCTGACCTGTGAAGCACACCTCCTTAAATGGCAGCTCTGCCACCGCATTACATTCCTGTAAATCAGCATTTTCAAATAGTTTAGTGAGAATTTAAGGGCATGTGGCATTGGAGATCTGTAGCTATGAACATCTTTTTCTCTCTGTAATGCACTTGGGCTGTGAAAACCTGAGGGAGTTGAGAAGGGGCAATCTCTCCTAAGCACTACAGAGGCCACTTCCTTTTCAGAAGCATGAGATTTAATTTCTATTGTATTTACCTTTAATAGAAAAAAATCCCAGTGAGTCATCTACTGCAAAATAAAATATTCAAACTTGACAGCATATAGACATTCAGTTTGCACATTTCATTACCAAAATGTGTAGTTCAATGCCAGAATTTTTTCTTCTTCCTCCTAAAATACTTTAAAGACTTTTCTTCCCATTTATCTACAGAAATATATTGATGATCTCACATACATTTTTTTAATCAGCAAAAATGAAACACCCAGTTGTAAGATGCTGTACAGACAAGTACAGGGCCTACATTGCTCAGTGTGACAAAAAATAACTTCAGTCCTTGGTTGTCATGAGAACACGGCTGAAGCTACTCAGGGGTTGCATCCCAGAGTGGGGAGATTTGTTCTGTCACTAAACAGCCGCTGCTACCTGGTGTTAAGTACCCCAAAACCCAGGAGAATTCAGAAATATAGTAATACCCCATAGAAAAGATGTGAATTCACCTGGTGTAGAACTTCTGGGTTCTGCTGCATGAAGTGGAGCAATCTTTGTCCATCCTGTGAAATGTCTCTACCTCTGAGAGTCTTCTTGTCTTTAGTGCCCGAAGAAGCAGGTGACAATGTAGTCTAAAGTAGCTCAGCAGCTGGAGGACACAATTGTATCTGTGTAAAAAATGAAACAGTTTTGTAATTGTTTCCATAAAAAAATAACTAATAATGACATTTCACAGTACTTCCAGAGCTCAAAGCTTAATCTATTTGACATTAGGCTAGATGATAAATCACCCAGTCTGGATTTGGCAGAGGGGCTGAGCAGCTTTGAAGACTGCTTTACTAAGGCCCCTTTGCTGTTGGGGAGCTGGTTATTCATGTTATACCCTGTCGTGGGATATCTACATGAAGGATCCTGTGACTGCAGCAAGCCTCATTGAGCACTGCATGAACACTGGCTGCTCATCCTCTGGCAGGATGAGGGCTGACATTTTACTGGTATGCAGTTTCACATTCAGAACACTGCGGATTCCTGGAAACTAAAATTCTGGTTTGATCTGCCTACTGAGAAGAAAAGGTTAAACCCAACAAAGCTGTTTTCCAGGCTTTCCTCAGGAAGGGTTTCCCAGTGTTTCTGTGCCCCAAGGAGCTTACAGTCCATGTCAGGTGCCAAACACTGACCAAGGGTCATTGAAGTCAGTAAAAAGGTCATCACAAACAGCCAGTCAGTCAGTTCACTTACGAGTAATTGAAGTGGCTTAAAGTGTTTCAAATACATTAAAAGCAGTGTCCTGGCCTGTGGTTCTCGTGCACTCTTCCCTTGCCTTGCTCTGGCAAACAGGGGGCACCTTCCCCTGCCCACTGCCACCTCCCTGGCCTGGCACCAAGGGACTCCCTGGGCCCCTGGACACAGCCCCCTGTGCAGCCTCCAGCCCCCACCCTGTAACTCCTGATCCACAGCTGCCAACTCCATCCCAACACAGCCCCTGAAGCTCCTCGTGCAGGCAGCAGCTGAACCTGCTGGGTGCCGAGCTCAGCCCTGATTCCCTCTGCAGTTCCAAACATCCCATCCCCATGAGGGGAGTGTTGAGGGCTCCATCCTGTTGCCACTAGCTTCAGCAAGAACTTCTCTAGGCCTTTTATAGTTCACAGTATTTATTTTAGATGGGCCACTGGAGTAAGGGATGTGGGGGTTGCAAAAGGAATTAAACTGTTAAAATGCTCATTCTAAGGGAAAAGGGATTAGAAGGATCCAATTAAATGTACCTTGAATTCTTTAAGCTATGCTAATTTGGAGGCCTGCCAACCTTGCAGTGTTCATTTAAACACATCCCTCTAGACACTGGAGTATTTTGATCTGTGTCTATTTAACTCTTTGAGCTCTGTGCTGACACTATTAACCCTTCACCATCTAAATCCAAACAGCATCTTGCCAAGGGTGTTTTGGAGGAAACACTGAAGGGACATTTAGCCAGAGAAGAAGTGGTCTCCTAAGGCCTGATCTCCCAAAGCAACCAGCTGGCTCAGCAGCAGGAGCTGGGAGTCACCTAACAGCTCACAGAAATGAGCTGGAGCCTCTCAGCTCTGTCCCCACAGGACCCAGGAGCTTCTGAGGGCTGAACTCAGTGGTACAAGAGGGCAGGACATGGCTGGAACAGAGCTGAGTCCAAAGCTGTGAGGGTTCACAAAGCCAAGGCCACAGAACCCGGTACTGTTGTATTCCCAACCAAAACAGTCCTGCATATAAACTAGAAATGCAATTCATGGTGGAATTGAATCACCATCAATAACAACAAGTGAGAGATTTGAAAATACATATTTCATAGGAGGGCTCTGCTGTATTTCCTAACCAGTGCTTAACTCTATTTCTTTTTAAATTGAATAATACAAAGTAAATCACTCTCATCACTTTACAAAACAGCAGTAGTTCTAAACATGCTGATACTGTGCAAGTAGGTATTTTACACTCAACAGTAAGTGATTTTAGCAGGACAGCAGACAGGTCTACGCTATCATTTGCTCATGAGAATCTGATAGGAGTGTTAAGAGCTACTTAAATTTGCCCATAACTATATATCAAATATGCTTCCCTATGCTCATTTTTCCTTTTGATTGCAGACAGGGAGTGTCAAGCAAACTCCCTTGAATGACTCTTTTGGGCATGTGGAACCCTGTGCTTTGCAGAACAATGTTCTCACTAAATCTTAGTGAGACAAGCCAACCAAATAAATAGAACAAACAGGAGCAACGAGGAGCTACCAGCTCTAGGCTATGGACAGATAAATGGGTGAGAAGACAGAATAAAGATATAATTACAAAGGAAACAGAGAAAAATCTTGCTGTAATCAGTAAAAATGCAGTCAAACCACGCTTCTCACTCCTGCTCCACTCAGCTCCATGCTCTGTGTACAAATCATTGGATCATGAAGCGAGCAGGTCGTGGGTGCACAGGCACCACCTCCAGCTCTGGGTGTGTCAGCAGGGTGTAGCAGCAGCACCTCAGCAGCTTTGTCAGGCAAAGGGAGCCCTCTGCACCTCCCTGATGGCCAGCTGGGGACATGGATGGCACCAGTCACCAGGCCCTTGGGTTTCTGCTTTGCTAGCAGGTGTTCATTTCAGATTTGGGGCCTTACCTGCACTTCTCTGTTATCTGTGTGGTTTTGCCTCATGTGTGCAATTCCAATCAGCCATCAGCTCATTCAATTGCAGGTTGAGCATGTATCTTAGAATGGGTTATATTGTTTTTTAGAAGAGACATCAAGACCTCAGAGGACTTGATGGTGCCTTTTGGTCTCAGCAATATGACAACAACCTGCTGGAAGGAAATTGTTTTTCAGTAGTTTAATGCCATTGCTGAATCTCTGCAAATTAAAAGATTTTGGTTTGGCAAGGAGAGGGAGTTAAGTGATATTTTCTTTGTCCGTCAACTGCTTGTAGTTCAATACTGGCATTATTTGCCTTTGAGACTAAAGCTGGAAAGTAAATGGATTTAGCAATTTAACATCTAAATTAGGCAGCAAGACAGAAAAAAATGTTTTACTTTTTCCTCAATGAATAGCATCCTATACTATTAATCATATGAGAATGAGAAAAGCTTTTCAGAGATTAGTGACAAAATGCCAGGCAGAATGCCTTAAAAGGCTCTGATCCACTGAGTCAGCTGTGAGAAAGCCAGGTAAACACTTTGGAAGGGAACTGCTGCAGTGTTTATCCTCCCAATAAAAGCTGGGATGAGGGCTTCCATTACAGCTGATTTGAAGTGAGGTGCCTCAGAAGGGACACATATTCCTTATAAAGTGGGGAATCAAGAAAGGTATTTACTCAGCACCAGAATGAGCACTCCTCAGGAAAAAGAATTTGGGGAATGCTTGTCCTACAGCTGACTGCAATGACAGTCTCAAAGGTTTCACATACATAAAGAGAATGGAGAAAAATGTCACATACTTTCTTTCTGTGAAAGAGAAGTGATCTCCTCGTGTATGATTTTTAAAATAAAAAAGACAGCTATTTAATTTTTATAAACATTTCTGAAAATGACTTGTATGTTCTAATCAGTTTAAAATGCAATTCCCCCTCACATGGCTTATAGCCTTGAGCCCTACTATTCTGAGATGTTCTTGTGGCACTGATACAATTCAGTGAAAAAGGCTCACACAAGGTTGTATGTGGCTAAATAGCACAGAGGAAGTAAATTTATATTTCACTGTCTGGTAATTAATAATGTCCGATATACCAACATTTTAAAAGGGATAAAACATTTAGAAAAATAGGAAATACAATGACAGGTGAGACTACTGAGAGGATTAAAATCAAACCAACATTAAGAGCCATAAACTGTCCAATAGTTCTTCTGGACATGTCATTACAGCAGTATGGAAAATAACATTTCTTTAACACAAATGAAGAATTTAATGGCTGACTTGAATATTAATTCTTCATACATGGTATTAAGGAAAAATAATCAGTTTGTCACTGCAACAGGGACGTTTAAAAAAATGAAGCCTTTGCCTTTTTCAGCTGACTAATCATGGGCAGTAAGCACAGGCAGCAGACACAAGTAAAACGTGTCTTGGGGAGCTAATATGAAAACAAGTGAAAAAGAGCAGCGGGATCCTACAGATGGAGGCAGGAACCAAATGAGACCATTGTCCATCCAACCCCCTCTTAAAACCAGGGTCAGCACCAGACAGGTTCCTCAGGACTTTTTCCAGTACTTGGGAACATCTCCAAGGATGGAGACTCCACAGTGTTTTGGCCTTGTATATTTGTACTTTTTTTGTGCTGTAAGGACATTGAGAGGAACTGAAGGAGAACATTGGATAAGCAAATCTAGGGCTTATGATAAAAAAGTGAGCTGTTAACATTTTTGCTGTTACTTTTCTCAGTAGAATATTAGGCATTCTAGAGTATATAAGTTTTCTAAAGTGTTCCTAAAAAAAAAAACCAATGATTTTTGATAATTAAACTCCCACATGCCTACACCACAAAAGTTTGAAGCTAAAACTGGAAAGACACAATTTTCTTACTCCTCCTACTTGCCTTGAGCGAGAGATCAACAATTTTTGAGAGGGAAAAATAAACAGAACACCTGAAAGCTGAAGCTTATTTAGCTTTTACATTTTCTTCTCCCCCTTTTAGTTAGTTCCATTTGCTTTTCAAAGAGATGTTAAAAGTAAACATGGTATGCCAGTGAATTATGGAAATGAGCATAACAGTGTGTCCCATGGAAGCGGAGGACAGCAGGGCCCAGGTCAGGGCTGGCTGGGCTGGCCAAGGTCAGGTTCGGGCAGAATCCCCACCTGCAGGGCCATCGCCGCTGTGACAAAGCCCTCGGGACGCCGGGGACATCGGGTTCTGTTCTGGAGCAGAATGACCCGAGCACTCCTCATGCTGCTGCTCAGCCCTTCCCTGCCCGCTCCCCTCGCAGCGCTCCCTCCCGAAATGCTGCCCGGGTTTATTAACAGAGGATCCCTTCCCGAAGTGCTGCCGGGTGTATTTAGCACAGGATCCCCTCCCGAAGCGCTGCCCGGGTGTGTTTAGCAGAGCAGAGCCCCTCGGTGCCTCTATCCCGGGTGTATTTGGCAGAGCAGAGCCCCTCGGCGCCTCTATCCCGGGTGTATTTGGCAGAGCAGAGCCCCTCGGCGCCTCTATCCCGGGTGTGTTTGGCAGAG